TTGTCCTCGTTGTAACGAGGGGGTGGATTATGCACGCTAGGGAGGTTCTCACTATAGTATGATGTTGTGAAGTTTGACACCTCCTCACGAATGAATGCCTCTGCTATGGAAGCCTCAATCCTGCCTTTGTTTCCACATTTCTGGTGAACAGTCTTTAGACATCTCTCGATTGGATAGCACCAACGGTTCTGCACGGGCCCCCCATTCGTACCTCATTCGGGAGGTGTAAAATCAAATGCTGCATCGACAAGAAAAAGCCAGGTGGAAAGATCTTCTCCAACTTATAGAGCAACTCGGATGCTATTTTTTCCAACTCCTCAACCACTCTCAGAGATATCTCCTTGGCACAAAGCTGGTGGAAGAAAAAGCTCAACTCTGCCAGCACCTTCTAGACATGCTCAGGGACGTAGCCTCGAACCATCGATGGAAGAAGCCGCTCAATCCATATGTGCAAGTCATGACTCTTCATCCCTAAGACTCGGCCAGTATCTGGGTTCGCTCCCCTCCTCAGATTCGCTGCAAACCCATCAGGGAAACTTAATGTCTGCATCCATTCTATCACTTCCGTCCTGTGCTTCTTTTCCAAGACGTAATCAGCCTTAGGCCTTTTCCATGGTTTGCCGTCTCTTGGAGGCATCATCTGTAGCTTTGGAATGTCGCATAGTGTTGCCATGTCTACTCTAGCCTTAGGGTTGTCCTTTGTCTTGTCAGGAATGTCCATGAGTGTTGCCCAAAGTGCTTCGGCGACATTCTTCTTAGTGTGCATTACATCTATGTTATGTGGAAGGCGAAGGTCATCAAAATAGGGAAGCCTCTCCAATCCCGACTTATGAGTCCACATATGTTCCACACCATAGCCCACAAAGCGATCTTTGTTTGGATTATCTTTCTTTGGATTGCCTTTCTTTCTTTTACCCTTCTTTGGATTATCTTTCTACGTCGGGACCACGAGAGCATCTATCTGAGCATGAACCTGGGCACTAGTCATCTTCTGAGGTGTAGGGTCGATCACCGTGACACCTTTCATGAAAGTTCTTGGTGTCTTCTCTGAATGCATGGTCAAGAGAGAGGAACTGTCGATGCTTGTCGAACGACGAGAACTTGCCACCCTTCTTCAACTAAATAACTGTAGAGCTACCTTGCATACCGGGCATGGAAACTTCCCGTGGACACACTAGCCGGCGAATATCCCATATGCCAGGAAGTCATGCATGGAGTACTGGTACCAAACATACATTCTAAAGTTCTTCTTTGTAGCTCGGTCGTAAGTCCATACGCCTTCATTCCAAGCCTTGATCAATTCATCATAAATAGGCTCCATGTACACACCCATTTTGTTTCCCGGGTGTCCAGGAATTATCAACGTCAAGAATATGTTTTGCCGTTGAAGTAGGGCCCTGGGGGGGAGATTGAGGGGGATAGCGAACATGGGCCAACAAGTGTATGGGGCCAACATCATTCCATAAGGATTGAACCCATCTGTTGCCAGCGCAACACGTACATTATGGGCCTCTTCATCTTTGCCATGATGGTTGCCATTAAAGCTTTTCCATGCTTCACCATCTGCTGGATGTACCATCTTGTCAGGATTGTATCGAATGCCATTCTTGTGCCATGTCATCTGTTTCGCGGACTCCTCGGACTTGAATAGCCGTTGGAGCCTCGGTATGATCAGAAGGTGTCGTAGGACTTTCATGGGGATGCCCTCATTCTGCTCCTTCTTGCCATCACCTTTGTCTACCTCCACATACCTAGAGGATTTATACTTTGGACAGTACTTTGCATCCTTGTGTTCTTTCCTAAATAGGACGCACCCCTTCGGACAACAATGTATCTGCTCATACGGCATCTTCAGTGCCCGAAGGAGTCTCGTTGACTCGTACAAGCTGCTCGGCAGATGATGACCCTCCAGAAGCAGATCCCCAATAATTGCCATCATAGCATCGAAGCAGGCTCGAGTCATGTTGTGCTGGGACTTCAACCCCAGTAGGCGCCCGATGGCATCCAGTTGAGAAACCGTTGTCTTCCCATGTAGGAACTTCTGTGCTGAATCCAACATGGCCAAGAACGCCTTAGTGCTTGGCTCTGGCTCCTCCTCCTCATCCTCCTGCTCGTCCTCTATAGGTCTTTCAACGAACGTCGCATCCTCATAGTCACCTAACCATCCTGCTACCCCGCCATCACCATCAAATGCCTCCAAGCCTCGTCTCACGACCTCCTCTCTAGGACAGTAGGCTTCACCATGGTGCACCCACCGGGTATAGTTTGGCATAAATCCATACTTGCAAAGATGCTTCATCATGACTTCCCTTGTTCTTCTTTTCTTGTTTTCACATTCGCTGCAGGGACAAAACGTGTCTCTCGCTTCCTTAGCTGCCTTAAATGCATGGTCCAAGAATTTCTCGGTCTTATTCATCCATTCACGAGTGATTTGAGCCTAACTTGGGCGTCCCGTGTACATCCACTCACGGTTATCCATCCTCTAACATATACACATAATGGAGTAATATAACCATCAGTCGCATCTGCATGGCGTGCCTACTGTCTAATAGGTGAGGATAGGTCCTAATCCCACCCGCGGATGCGTAGATGAGGTTAGTTTCCATGCTCTACTCTGATCCGAGACAGAATTTCGGCAGCACCTCCCCGCTGCTCTCCCGATACACGTCCTGGTAGGGAGAGTGTGTATCCGAAGAACAACAGGGAGGTGGTGCCGAAACTCCATCTCGGATCCGAGCAGAACATGGAAACTAACCCATCTACGCATCCGCGGGCTATCCAAAACACATGGATAATCCAAAACAGATACGGTCATAGATATGCAAAGATCCGCATACCTCCAACCGTATCTGTTTCGGACAGGAGACGCCTAACTGGGTTATGCAACCTAAGACCATGATACGGATAGAGGGGTTATACCTAGGGTGCTGGTGAGGTCAGGCTAGCGGGGCAGAGGCGAGTCGGTGCAGTGGCGATGCGACGCGGTGCAGGCAGACCCACAACGCTGACGAAGACGATCAGGTCGCCTAGGTCCCTCCGACGGGTCCTCCTCCTGCATAAAAAGATAATACATTAGTGTCAATTGAAAATTTCGGCAGAACCTCCCCTGCACGGGGAGGTTCCCAAAACCTGCAGAAAACATAGGCACGGATTAACTATCGATGACGATCCAGTAAAACGTAGATTCATATATAGTACTGAACTTCATCAGCAAAATTGTTTCCTAAAATTGTTTCCTAACATCAGCAAATCACCTAGTCTTTGCGTGCAGTTGGCAGCAGTTCATATATAGTGCTGAACTTCATCCATTCCTTGACTAGATGTAGATTAATGAAAAAAATAACAAACCTGAGTGCAGCAAGGCTCTCTCAGTCTCCTACTAGATGTGCGGCTAGATTAACTGAAGACACCACATATCAGCTCAAAGCCTGAAGATGTGAACATAAACACTGCAACAATATAATTCAGCAAAGGAACATTAGGTTACAGGATTTCGTACAACCTCTATAAAAAAATTTTAGATATCACAGGATTTGACTCTAAGTAGATGCCTCTACATAAGAGATCACCATGGAACCAAATGACTAGAAATGACAGGCTTATTACCTGAACCATTCTGATACATGTTATCTGCTAAGTTTAAATTTAAGGTCACACATCTGTCTACTAAGTAAAAGCAAATGGGTTTTAATTTAAGATCAATCATCTGCCATGATAATACTTTAACAAGGCATACATTGCATAAATTCAACTAACAAATAGTTCTTACTTGATTTACTTCACACAGTAAGGTGACAAAGATGGGTTGTATTGAAAGTATTAAATTGAAGCAGAAGCAGATGCGTCCTCTGCCGAGAACTAGAATAGATCTTTCCTATGCTAACCATATTTATAAGCAGAAATGCTACACAAACAAACAAAAAAATTTATATGCTTTCAGTTAGTGCTTAGTAGTTCAACCATTGCCGCTTCATTATAGGGTAAATCTAATAGCAAAGCCAAATTGTCTATGGATCAGTCAAAATATATATTGTGATGCCATTGAAAGCACACTACAGCTATCTATATAAGAATTTACATAGAAGTTACAAAGACAAAACACGAAAATATCACCTCAGTTGCCGTCAGTTTATCCAAGCACATGGCTGAAACCTTTCATAACACAATTAAGGTTTGACATAAAAGATAATTGTAATCTAAGCAGTCTTTCTAACGACAATATAAGCACAAGCTAAGCTCAAAAGGGTCAAAATATTATACTATTGACCAAAAGAATCACAACTATGCCTAATTATTCAGTCTGGAAGTGTTGAGCAAGTAGTACAAGTTAATTAGGTACCAACATATAATAATTTTAATAATATTAGTGGAATCTCAAGATATATATGCAGACAACATATAGTATTTTAGTAGAGCAGATATATATAGCACCCTTTCATATGATTCCAGCTGGAAATATAAAGAATCACTCAAAGAAATAAAGCTACTTTGTTATCTACTAAATTGTTACGGTTTATAAGAATATAATAATGCACTGAAAATAGATAGCTACTTAAAAGTTATCACCAATAGCTAACTCATGAAAAGGATGTTTCCTAAAGCTAAATATAGCTTTTAATTATTAATTGCTCTCAGTTGTGATAGGGGTACAAGCAGCAATAGGAATGTAGAACGCCTCTACTCCTACTATATATATAATAGTCACTACTGTACTATTTTATTATTTTCACTTGAATGCTGAACTGCTACTTGTAGTATTGTGATGTGCATTCTAAACATAAAGCTTGAAGCATGATTTTGCACATTCACAGGATACATGATTTACATCACCACTTGGTCCATTAAGAAGATTTGGCATGGGTACCTAATTACATGGATCATAAACCACTATTACCAGCTATTGATCATTAATTAGTCAAAACTAACATGAAACAACTATTGTGGGTGGTTATGGAGATGTTCATAAATGTGTCAAAACCACAACAACTATTGCACGAGAGATGCAAGATGCTATGAAGAAGAAGAAGAGACCACTCGTCCTTGATGATGAAGAAGGAGAGCAACAAGGGGAAGATGATCTGATTGTTTTGACAGAGGAGTCCCAAGATGTTGCTAGAAGCATTGTGCATCCTAGTTCAGGGACAGCTGCCAAAAGGAAACAATCCACATTGAAGTTCAAAGGCTCCAAAGAGTCCAAAGCACCAAGTTAGTTGGTTCAATGCTTGGAGAACTCCAACAGAGGTTGTGGAAGAAAGACACTCAAGGGTCCTTCTCAAATCAGTATTCAAGCTAGCATGAGGACAAAGGAAGAAAGAGAAGTTGTCAACTTAGAGTGGGCCAGGTTCTTTTATGAGTGTGGCATACCATTCAATGCCAGTAAATTCTAGGCGGTTTGAGATTGCTATAGAGGCCAACTTGCACAATGCGGTTCTGGGTATAAGCCTCCTACCTACCATGAGCTTAGGGAGCCATTGCTCCAAAAGGTTGTAAAGGAGACAGATGATTTGAGGAAGAAACATGAGGATGCATGGAAACAATATGGCTGCACATTGATGTCAGATGGATGGACGGATAGGAGGGGGCATCATTTGATCAACTTTCTAGTCAATAGTCCGGAGGGGACTTTCTTCTTGTAGTCAGTTGATGCATCAAGTGAAGTTCATGATCAGGTGATGTTAGCTGATTTGTTAGAGAAGAAAATCATGGACATTGGAGTAGATAAAGTTGTGCAAGTTGTCACTGATAATGGAGCTAACTATAAACCAGCGGGCAAGCTTCTCATGGAGAGGTTTCCTACACTTTATTGGACTCCTTGTGCTGCACATTGCTTAGACCTTATGTTGGAAGACGTAGGGAAGTGGAAGGAATTTAAGAAGCCTATCTCACGTGCCCGGCATGTCACTACTTTCATCTATAGACATGGAAGACTTCTTAGTGCAATGAGGGAGAAGACAAATGGGAGGGATCTTGTGAGACCCACAGCCACTCGGTTTGCTACCACATTCCTCACCTTGCAGAGTTTGTACAAGCACAAAGATGCATTAAGATTTCTGTTTACCTCCGAGGATTGGACTGGTTGCAAACTAGCAAAGACAGAGGCCGGGAAAAAAGTGTATGATATTGTGCTTTCTAGGGAGTTTTGGAACTCCGTTGAGGATTGCCTTAGAGCTTCTCTACCACTTATCATTGTGTTGAGGGTGGTTGATGGTGATGAGAGGCCTGCCATGCCAGAGGTTGCTGCTCTCATGAATCATGCAAAAGAGAAGATCAAGGCTAGTTTCTCTACTGAAAACAAGAGAAGCTTGCTCAACAAGATCATACAAATTATTGAGAGCCGTTGGGATAGGCAAATGGATACCCCACTCTATGGCGCTGCCCTCTTTTTGAACCCAGGAAAATTCTATACCATCCAAAAGGAGAATGATGAATATGTTGGTCATTTAAGGGGTTGTTTCAATGATGTGCTTGCACGAATGGTGGAAGATGAGAGCATTCGAAACAAAATTGATCAACAATCCATGCTCTATGAAGATCAACGTGGAGATATCTTCAAGAATTGTATGGCCCTCCAAACCATGAAGTCAAAGAACCCTCGTAAGTGATTTAAAAATTTAATTGCTGCATGTTATTTAAGGCTTAAATCCTAATATATGAATGTGTATTGTTAATTTAGTTGATTGGTGGCGTACGTATGGTGGCCGATCCATTGACCTACAAAGATTTGCAAAGCGTATTGTTAGTCTTTGTGCTTCATCATCCGGTTGTGAGCGTAATTGGAGCACTTTTGAATTTGTAAGTAAAGTACTCAAGTTCCATAATTCAATTGAATGAAACCGGTTAAAGCATATTTTATTAACTTTGCTTGCTTTATGATCAATTGTAGATTCATACTAAGAAGAGAAACCGGCTGGAGCATAAAAGATTGAATGATTTAGTTTATGTTTCCTATAATCGGAAAATGACTAGTAGGTTCCGAAAGCGCCGCGAGGAAGCGGGTAAAAGCTATGACCCTTTGGTTATAGAAGATTTTGATTGGAACAATGAATGGGTAGACCCAATGGCCCAACCTGAAGGTGATCGTGGTTCGGACCTCACATGGGATCAAGTTGATGAAGCCATTGGTGCATCACGTGAGCTTCGAGGTCGTAATCTTCCTAGGACCTACGCTCGTTGTGCAAGGCAAACATCAAGAGTGGTTGAAGAAGATGAGGAAGAGGGAGAGGAAGAAGAGATCATTTTGGATGATGATGATATAGATGATTTTGGTGAACAACCAATGGATGCTACTGAAGATGGTGGAGAGAACGTGGATGCTTCTAACGATCTCGATGAATTTGCATTGGATGACTTTTGAGAGATGAGAGATTTGGAAGTTTGAGAGATGAGAGATTTGGAAGTTTGTGCTACATTTACATTGCTATTTTGATTTGCTAATATTGTAGACTATACCTTTTAAGCTACATTTGCATTACCATTTGTCAATATAATTTCCTAATATTCTAGACTATAATGTATGGCGTCGCCACGCCGATGTGTGTATGGCGTCGCCACGCCACGCGCCATAGACGCTGTAAAGGTGTGAAGGTGGTGGGTCGCCGCGCCTCGCCACGCTGCCGTAAAAACTATGCTCTAAACACACCTAGGCATGTGGACAAGTTTATTTGGACTGAGCCTAATCATCACCTTAAACTTGCTTCCTCTAACACACAACACACATCCCAAATTGTATGCTAGGGGTGGAAACTCTTGCATGTCCGTTTTGTGTGGCATGAGCTACTTCCGGAAAGTGGCCATTTTATCTGGCGTAGCACCATAACATGCACTCTTATTATATTGTATGCAGCAGTCACCAAGCGTTTTTTTCCCTTCACCACTCCATGCATAATTGATCTGTAATCATGCACATTGGCGCAAGATAAAGCTAATGGAGAACATGGATAGCAGAGCAGGTGGCTGCGGGTAACAATGGGTGGCGGGCTGCAAGGACAGCAGCGAGCAAGCTGCCGGGCTGGGAACTATTCCCAGGAACAGAGCAAGAACGACGTACGCGACCCGAGCTTTATTGATTTGGCAAAGAATAAGACTATGGGTCATAAAGCAGCACTAGATCAGGACAAAGCAAGTACTAAAAAACTGGGGACCAAGCCAGATCTGGAGGATAAAGAAATCACCTTTGAAAAGCACCTCGGTCGGGGAAGCAGGGACCACGCGCACGTGCACGGGAGTGTGGACCAGCTAGCAGGACTCCCATCGTGACCTTGAGGGAAAGCACGCGGTCACGTTGGGGCCCGCCAGGCGCGCGGAGGCAGCGAGCATCAGCCGAACGGGCGCTAGCTGCTAATGGGATGGGCCGCGGTGCGCAGACCGAGCGGGCGCTGGCAAGTGGCCGGAGCAAGAGCCGATCGCACGAACGCAGCACGCGGCAGGGTGGAGACGGCCACGGCCGCGCGTCAGGTCCGGCCGGGCGACCGTCGCTAGCTGTCGCTGGCTAGGGGTTGGAGACCGACACGCGGTCAGCAGGGCGAAGCTACAACACGTAATGGGGGCGGGTAAGAGAATCATGGGCCCCGCGGGTAAGGGAATTCGGGCGCGGCCAGATCGATCTGAGCTGAACTGAAAATTTCAGTTGGGGTGGAGAAAAATTCCAGGGAAGGGTCGTCTATACGTACACCGATATTTAACGAGAAATTCCAGCTCCGGAGGACAATAAGTCCAGAGAAGTGTCCTCTGTACACGATCAATAATTAACTAGAATTTCTGGCTCGGGAGACGAATAATTCCAGGTAATGTACTGAGAAGAAGTGAGAAAACAAGTGCCCTGGACAGTAATGACCAACAAGCAAAAGGTGAGGTTAATTCTGTGTACTTATGAATTTTTCTGTATGCTTATGATGATCTGTCAAACTTACAGTTGCTGTATGTTTATAAATTAATTTGGTTGTATGCTTCTGATATATAGTCTGTGTACTTATATTTTGTAGGGCCTAATTAATAAAAGCACAAACACATAAGTCATAGGACTAGTTCACAGGATATCAACTCAAAAGACAATAGTTCACAATATATGTTCAAATCACAAAAAAGAAACAGCCAAAGAATAATATATGTTCACAAACATAAATAGTTCACAACAGATTTAGGCGAGCACTCATAGTTCACAACATAAATAGATGGTTCACAAACTCAACACAATGATCTGGTCATACATTAGCTAGGACCAACTGCCAAAGATCAGTAACAGCACTATCAAGTTTTGCCTTCATTACATCCAAATCATGCTTCAGGTGACTCAAGTATTTCGGTTAATTGGTCCCAACTTGTTGGGCTAGACAAAGGTGCTGGTGAGGCAAATGGATCATCTTCCCCGTACAGTGGTGAGTCCGGTGGTGAGTCCGATGTTAGGGCGAAACTTGAATCTCCTGATGAAGAGCCGGGTGATTGAACTGTGTAACATGCATGACAATCCGCATGAAGTAGTTTAATAATTGGATTGTGATACATCTCAAGTATGTGGTTAGGGGCGATGTATAAGATGGTTGTACCATACCTAACTGCAGAAGAGCCAGTTGCTGTCCACCTCCACCGGCTTGTCCACCTCCACCTGCTTGCCCAGAAGTCCCTGCACCGTCCTTTGGGAATAGTGTGTATCGGAAAGGCGTGTTGATCATAGCTGCAATAAGAGTGAGATTTGTTAGAGCGAACAGTGTAACATTAATGTTGCAAAGGTTCTGTTGTAACTGCAGTTACCATTCTGTTGTGCCTAGATTGCCGAGTTGGGACCCGGTGCATATCCTTCTACGTCCATCCAAATTGGCCACATGTAGAGCACAGTGCCTCTGCGGATGGCTACATTCCATTTAGAAGGTATGTCTTCTCGGGATGCATATGTCTTGAAGGTTGCAGTAAGATCCTCCTTATTCAATTTTGGATACAACACAACAACCTTGTTTGCGAAGATCATACTTAAGGCTTTAGCGACGAGCAAATGTGGTGGCAGTCCGCGAACGGTAACCTTGAGATGTTCCATAACTTCTTCTCCTCGTTGGCGTTTAGCTGGTGTCAGAGTTGGGGATGGGGGTGGCAGGCCATCGAAGGGTAGTATTGCACAACCATGCTGGGGAGTCCATGGATACGTGACAATCTTTGCGCCCCCAATGTCAATTTCTGGTGTTCTCAAGATTTCAGTGGCTTGCTCTGTTGAACTGCCCCACACCAGGTAATCTGGATCATGTCGTAGAATATTCTCCAAAGCAACATTAACCCCACAGATGTTGACAATTGCATGGTGTATCAGGATGCGATTAATCCGGTCCTGGTTTGCTGTTGTTGGGACCTTGAGAAGTACTGTGCAGCCAAACCATTTTTTCGCATCCATGGAGATCTCACTGTCGTGGAAGATTGTGATGGTGTCCATCCGGCAGAAAAACGCCATCACTCTCTCCTGCAAAATAAGGAACAAAAGATTGTCAATTAAGAAACACAACATTATATAAGTTGAAAATTTTAGCAGCACCTCCCCTGTACTGGGAGGGTTCCCAAACCTGCAAGAAAAATGCCGGCACGAAGTCCGACAGCCACATTTCTGGCACAATGGCCCACACATCAACATTTGCGGCACGAAGGCCAGCAACGACATACACGGCACGACGGCCGACAACCGGGGAGGGAGGGGGGCTTTACCTTGGGTGGCGGTGGAGTCGGGCGACGTGGAGTCGGGATCACCTTCGTCTCCGGCTAGACGCGGGGAAAACGGCATGGATGACCGCGGGGCGTGACACGTGGGCGCGGGGGCGTCACGGTCGTCGGCCTCTCCTTCTCCTCACCTCTTCTCCCTTCCTCTTCTCCCCTCCTCTCTTCTCCTTCTCCTCTCCTTCTCCTCCTCCTCTTCTCCCCTCGTCCTCCCTTCTCCCTGCTCCTCTTCTTCTCCCCTTATCCTCTCTTCTCTCTTCCTCCTCCTCCGCCGCTCTGCAGAGCCGGGCCGGTGCGCGCGGGGCCGGCCGGGGAGTGTGGCCGGGTGGCGGCGAGGGTGGGCCGTCGGGGAGCGTGGCCGAGGGGCGGGGACGGTGGGCCACCGGCGAGCATGGCCGGGAGGCGGCGGCGGTGCCCCACAGCCGGGCGAGGCGGGGCGGCGCGTCGTGCGGCGCGGGGCCCGACCGGGAGGGGCGGCGCGTCGGAGGCCAGCGGCATGGGGATGGCGCGGGGACGACGGCGGCGCTCGGCGGGGCGGGCCGGGCTTGGCCGGGGCGGGGGCCGGGAGGGGCTGAGGCGGGGGGGGCGGGGACCGTCGGCGGCGGCGCGGGCAAGGTGGCCGGGGAGCGTGAGAGTGTGAGTGTGTGAGTGTGGGTGTGAGTGTGGGAGTGTGGGTGTGAGTGTGAGTGTGTGAGTGTGGGTGTGAGTGTGGTCGGATGAGTAGATGATCGTTATAATTTGGGAAAATTGGCTAGGGAACACTGCAAAAACATGTCTTTTGCTATAGGACACCAAAAATACTTGTCCTTGCCAATAGTAGGGATGAAAATGGATCGGATACGGACGGATATCACCGATATTACATTTGTTTTCATATTTATGTCCGGATTCAGATTTGAATACGGATAGTGTCAACTATGTCGGATAGGATACGATTGGATATCGACATCATAAATATGCGATTTGAGTATTCGGATATGGACACGGTATCGGATGTTGGATATCCGGACTCGGATACGGACAGATCTCAACCCCTCTAAACGGATTCGTTTCGAATACGGTCGGAAAATATCCGTACCATTTTCATCCCTAGCCAATAGACACTATAATACAGTATTAATTTGGTGTAGGACACTGGACCTATTATTAAGTGGGAAGCTATGGGAAGTGACTAGATTACCATTACCTGGCCAACACCCGACTCGATGCAATCGATCCCAAATCGATGAATGGATTCGCATCGTCCCCCGCTGGAACACGCGACAAAGACCAGGCGAGGTTTGCGGCGGCTGCCCTCCCCCGGCTATGGCATGCCTGCCAACACGGCTACAGTGGTGGGGCTCGTTTCCAGAGGCACGGGCTGCCGGAGGCCCGCGGCGCCCGCCTCCGGAGGTGAGCGGATGCAGCTATTGGCGGCGCCCGATAGATGGTAACCACCAGGGAATCACTCTCTTCGGATGTTTTTAGGAGCGTGGAGTGCGGAGCTTGTTGTCGTCTGATTGCGTGTTTCTCTTTGCAGACGAGGGGACATCTCGGCTCTACTCGCCGTTTTGGCCTGAAGCCTAATGGTGAGACAGAAGTCACAGAATCGGGTTTCTTGATTCTCGGATTGAAGGCTAGTGAAGTGCCTAGCTTCTCGTGCTTAAGGAATTCATCGCTCGTCCA